GCTCCAGATTCATGCGTGTGCAAGCAGGAGGCTCGGCTGCGCTGCGAAGCATCTCGCCTGCACGCAAATACTGAGGCCTATGTGTCAAAACTGGGACAGCGCCCTATCCCAGTGCCTGTCCAATCGCACCACCTAAGAAACCTTGGCATGATCCGATTCCCCTGTAAATAACAACAAACAAATGTTTCCACCATGGTTTCTTAGGTGGTGCGAGCGGATTTCATCCATCCACAGTATGACAGTAAAGCAAGGACAGCTCCAGTAAGCTACAATGCGTGCCATGATCAAACCTCCTTGTGGTTGCGTTGGTTCAAAAATAATACGAATCCATATATGAATCCTAATTATGTTGGTCAAGTGACCATGCTACCAACTTCGAGGAAAAAACTCGTGGGCTTTGATCGCCATGGCATATGTGCTGTGGCTGGTTATACTCCCCCTAACAAAAACGCACATATGGCTGTTGCTCAGGAAAGTGGTACCAAAATGGCACCCTGATAAATGGATCCAAAGAGTAAAGCCCGCGTAACCCCAGCTCTCTAATTTTGAGCCATACCCACATCCATTTAGCAAGTCACCGTCGGAATCGGACTCTGCCTGCCGGTGGATGGCCTCGGTTCCAGTGCCAAGCTGGGCTTCCGGGTGGAGGAAAGGAAGGTTATAGACTAGCTGGAGTCTCCTTCTGACCCTTAACAAATGGTTGGTCATTACCCAAAATGGAGGGGTCATGGCCCCATTTTTTTAAGGCTCATGCAGACTCTAGGTATTTTCCGCCAGGGATCCTTCTTTCTAAAAAGAACCACCCAAACCCCTGGGGAAATGGAGCTGTTTTATTGATAAGAACGGTTGGGTTGAAAAGAATGGAACTGGAATCAACCCCCAGAGTTCGAGACGATTCTTAACTCAGTCGCCCCTTTTGGACCCAGAACTAAAAGCTGCTCACCTTTTGGCGCCTCTAAAAATGGCCGCCAAAATCGGGAAACCGAAAGGTCAGATCCGGTCGATTCGCTTTGGACAACTGAGATACAAGGCGAGTTACATCCAAGCATCCAACTATTGGACTGCAAGCTGGAAGGTGTTCCTCATGCAATTTGTGCTGGTTTCTTGATCCCTGGGAGACACGCTCCAACAGCCATGCGCCATACCTGGATTGCCTGCGAGTTCCATGCCGAAAAGCGCCCTTGACCTGTTGGGTGTCCCCTCCAAATGGCAGCTAGAACTAAAGGTGGGCAGCATCACTCGGCCTTTCGGAGCAGTGGACTCGTTTATTCCTGAGCATATGGCGGTTGAAACGTGTCTTAATTTGTTCAAAGGGACCACCAACAAAAAAGACTTGCTCTCTTTGCGATGTGTTCTTTTCTCATTTGTTGTTTGTTTTTTTTTTTTTTTGGGGGGGGGGGGTAGATTTTGACCAACGCACACACACACACACCCATATGATCTGACCCCAATATTGGACTCTGGCGCGACCAGCAAAACGCCTTCGAAGGGGATGGCAACAACAGGCACAACCCCCTCGCGTCATGCAACCTGCAGGCGTGATCTTGCCCTCAGGCGCCAGAGATAGGACCATTGAAGTTGCGCGCCCGTGTCACCCATTGACTTCTGGTTCTGCTCATAGATGACCTTTAAAAACACTGATGGCTTTCCCTGGTAAATGGAGCAAAAGCAATCTAAACCAGTGCCAGCGACATCAATTTCTAACCCAACTGACCTAAAAAGGACACCTATGTACAGGGATGCTTGTACATACCCCTTTGACATACCCCTTGGACAAATGAACCCAAAAGGCCCGATGTTCATACCCCTCTACCCCTAATGAAGTGGGTTGGAAACCACGGAAGCCAAGGGGTATGAACAAGGGGTATGTACTTCCACCCTTAGACTATGGTTCTGCCGAAAGTATAAAGGCTATGGCTGTGATTCTTGTTTAAACTGGGAAGCCTCTGGTGGACATCAAGCTTCGGCGGGGGTTGGTGTCCATCACCCACTGTTGAGGTGGCTCCTTGGATCCATAGCCTTCTGGACTTTGTATAACACCCAAATGGCGAGTGTGTGTATTCCCATGAAACAAGGGTAGTACAAACACCTGATAAAATGGCGAGTGTGTGTCTTGGACACTGCTCAATTGACGATTCCCACTTCATCTGTTCACCCGTTTATGCCATGAACAATACACATACCCACAATCGCACAAGGGATGGTAGTCCAGTGTTACACACATGCAGCCGTGCAGGGTTAGGACTATCTCAATAGATCCGATACAGGACTCAGGGCTCCATGTTTGGGATTCTGCTGAAAGGGAACCCCCCGCCCCCGGGCTTTAGGCTCCCTGCGTCAGAATCGAAATCTGGCATGAAAGAGGACGGGGTACTAAGAACCACCACCCGCATGCCTGCTGCACCCCTCAAGAAACCTGGGAAAAGTTGGCGGCCCCTGGTTTCTGTGGGGAATATGGCTTGTCCCCTGTCCCAAATCATCAGTCAGTAGACTACCCATCATCATCACACACATATCAATAACACACATCTCTGTTATTGCCAACACCGGGGCTGCTTCCTTCAAAGCTCCGGATCCCCTCTAAAATGGGACTCCCCAGTAAAAGCAAACAGGGGTTCTGCTTACGTTGCAGTGAGCTGGTTTCCAAGTGAACCATTTAAGGGGTCGATTCCAATGTTAGTGGCCCCCGAACTCACCAAACAAGAAGGGGTAAGTGAGATGTTCCTCCAAAAGTGCAGAATTCCCCAAAACCCACCAGGGGGCATTAATCCCGGGCTACAAGAAACTCTCTTGCTGAGTGAATTGGCCAACAAGCTTTTGCTTCTGTTCCCAAACGTTTTAAGTCCAGCAACTCAGGGAGTGAGGAAATTGGGTTTGTCTTTATTGAGCAAAAAACACAAAATGGCAGGGCTCTCTGTGGCGTCCCTTTAAATGCCATCCAAAAACTAGGTCCTCCAGTAGAGAGGTTATATAGAATAAGGGAACTCTTTTTTTCTGCAGTCTATTTTAGTAGGGGAACCCTGCCACAAAAAAGAAACGGTAACAGGGCACCTAGCTGGGGGACCTAGAAAAAGGGTACCAACTCCAAAACAAGATGCCCAAATCGGCGAGCAAATTGGAGCCGAAGCTGCCGCAGACCCGCGGAAAACGCTTCCACAGGCTCGGGAAGGCCGTGCTGACCTAAGGCTGACAAGGAAGGCTGAAACAACGGGCCGTGTGAAGCCTTGTTCCCGATCAGCTCTGTGTGAATGCCGCAACTGTTGTCAACATCATATTTATATACAAAACATATTACATACATATATGTATACATTATACATATACTACGGCATCAGGACCGTTGAACCTAAGTACTTTATGTATTATATATACCATATGGTGATTACATAAGCTCATGTTCATTGTTGCAAACATTCCACATCAGCTTCATACCATGCTCATCTTCATATTTGCACCTTCACCCCGCCTCAGCTGCCGAACAACGGCGCGCATAGCCATGGCCCAAGAAAAGGAATCTCTCCAGGAGAGTGAGTTGGCGACTTTCCATGTCTTCTGTCTGGTGAGTTTGCAACAAGTCGGGGATCACCCAACTCTTGAGTTGCATTCTGGACGGGGTTGGTTAGGGCTGCTTGGTTTATCAAGGCTCTTGGTGCCCTAAGTCGAAAAAGTGCTTGATCTGGGGGCTCCCCTGTAAAACCAATGTCTGCCTGTTTTCCTTGGGCACATCGAGGCAGAGCTGATTTGACACGAATCTTTAGACTGGGGTTCCGAAATCTTGCGAGTCCTGTTTTGGTTGTGTAGTGAAAACGTGATGCAAATGAGTTGGTTTCACCAGCACGAAGCATTAGGCTGGTTCTAGGATTTCAATATGCGATCCGCAGCTGTAAGCCAAACATAGACAGACTGGCAGTGCATGAGATCACGCTGCCCGAGTCATGGAGGAAACACGTCGGCACGTAATGGTTGGCAAACACAAACAAACTTGTTGACATCAGGGGAGGGACAAGCGTGCTGCTTCAAGCACAAAAAACAAAGGACAACACAAGGGGGTAACTTGCTGGTGATCAGTAGGGAAAAACCTTCCATGTGTTGGGAATGAACATGCTATTCCCTGAAAGGAAACGATGGGGGATTTTGTTTTTCGGGGTCATTCCGCTTCTCATTCCCTGCGTATCACACCCGCAAGGCGACCAGCCAAGATGTGTTGAGTGCGACCGTCTCCGATAGACCTGGGGGAGTTTGTACAAAGCGGTGAAGAACTAGCTACTCAGCACTGCTGATTTTTTGTTCTCAGGGACACTAGGCAGAACCGGGGGGATAGGTGTTCCTGTGTCTAATCACAACACATCTAGGTCCTCCAGCTGACAGGTTAGAATCAGGGTACCCGATTTTTCTTCTGTAGTCTAATTGAGTAGGGGAACCCAAAACATCCCAAGACCCCCAAAAACGCAACGGTAAAAGGGCCTCACTTGCTGAGTGGATGGCCCAAGAAAAGTTCAAACTTTATATTTACCACTAAAATGGTCTTCCCAAAAAAGTTTAAAGATTATGAACTCAGGAAGTGAGGGGCAGCAATCGCTGGGGGACCTAGTCACCCACCAACACATCCTTCGCCATGCCGAGCTTCAAAAGTGACACCTTCAGTTGTCTGGGAATTTCCACCTCCGAGCCACACGAAAACTGTTTGCTGGCTACCACACTGCCCGTGTGCTTGGATAGCCTTTGCCAAAAAAACACGCACAACATGAAGGGCTCTATGGGAAACGAAGCTTCATGGGCAAGGTCGAAGCAACTGGCTTTTTGGGGGTCACTAAACATCTCCACAACTGCATAACCCTATAACCCACTTGCAACTCGAAATATGGAAGTTTCGCCGTGAAGCATCAGCCCGCCTTAAAAGGGAGACTCACTCTAAACCGGCCCAAAAGGTGAAGTGATATCTGAAAAAAGCCTTTCAGGGGCAAATACAGGAACGCTGTCTCTCCTTCGGTGGCACCGGCCTCTGCATACTGCTTGAAGCCACCGACGAGAAGATTGGTTTGAGCATGGCGCTCCTGCAGAGCGCAGGGGGGGTGGAAAAGGTGAAGCAGAACTGGTTCACTCCTGACAATGCATGCATGCAAGATTGTCACACATTTACATTACAAATGGATCAGTGAAGCAAAAACGATCTGATCGAGTCACCGGCAACCCACGCCAGGATTCTGGGGACAGTCCACGGGTGTGGATTTAGACTCACTCGGCGTCAAAGAATAACATGCTGTCCCAGGCGGAAGGAAAGCGGCCTAGAACCTGATTTTGACGCATCCCCAAGCTTTGCATTGTACCGAAAACTCGCCAACGTACCTCTGCCAACATAGTAACTACGGCAAACGAGTCTGGCACAAAAGAGGGCTATCTCAGGGACAAACGGATGGGGTTGTCGGGTGCTTCAAAATCAGATTGACCCATGATTATAGGAGTAAGCTATTAGTCGTCATTTCACCCCTTCTCTCACAATCCCTTGGTATATTAGCTGTTTTTTGCAAAACCCCCCTGCCAAAAATGAACAGAACCAACACAAACCAGCAAATAACGGCAAACCAACCAAATACAAAGCACATACCCAAACAACTACAAACCAAAGAACCAAGAAAACACAAGGGTGAGAATCTTAATTTGGCGGCCTTTAGTGGTCCACCAATTACTTTCGAGGCAGTTCCCCGCAAAACCAAATATGGCCAACTACCATGCCCTTGCGTAACTAGTAGCTCCGAACAGCTCCCCTTCGCTCCCTTCCAATCACTGGCTAGACTCAGTAGGGAATGACCTTCCGGGTGTTGGGAATGAATCGATTGGGACTCCAGACCTGGAAAACCACAAGGGATGTTTCATCTGTTCTGCTTTTCTTCCGGGAGTCATTCCAATCCTCGTTCCCAATCAAACATCAGCAAGAATAAAACCAAAAACAAAAAACACTTCAAAAACCGGATACCTGGGATGGTTCATCCGTTCTTCTTTTTTCCGGGAGAAATCCCCAATCGAACCAGAACACGTTTCGGTAAGTCACCTCACCCCGCTCCGATTCGATTCGACAGGGCTCGCCTTGATGGCGCAAATCTGCGCGGTGAACTGCGCGGGGCGGTCCGGGTCCGCCAATCGCAGCTCCTCACCGCGATTTCGATGTTCCGAGCGCGGAAGGGGCGCGAGGGAAATCCGATTCATCTTGCTGGCGATAAGTAGGGAATGAGAAATGGAATGAACCTGGGCATTCCCTTAAGGGAAACCATAGAAGATGGGTTTGTAGGGGTCATTCCCTCATTCCCTGCTGAGCACCAGCAAGTTGTAGGAGCGTTGACTACGAAAGACATGTCACCCATTGTGTTTCGAGTGTGTGTGTGTGTGTCTGTGTGTGTGTGTGTCTGTGTGTGTGTGGGTGTGTCTGTGTGTGTGTGTGTCTGTGTGTGTGTGTGTGTCTGTGTGTCTGTGTGTGTGTGTGTGTCTGTGTGTGTGTGTGTGTCTGTGTGTGTGTGTCTGTGTGTGTGTGTGTGTCTGTGCGTGTGTCTGTGTGTCTGTGTGTCTGTGTGTGTCTGTGTGTGTGTGTGTGTCTGTGTGTGTGTGTCTGTGTGTGTGTGTGTCTGTGTGTGTGTCTGTGCGTGTGTCTGTGTGTCTGTGTGTGTCTGTGTGTGTGTGTCTGTGTGTGTCTGTGTGTGTGTCTGTGTGTGTGTGTGTCTGTGTGTGTCTGTGTGTGTCTGTGTGTGTCTGTGTGTGTGTGTCTGTGTGTCTGTGTGTCTGTGTGTGTGTGTGTGTGTGTGTGTGTGTGTGTGTCTGTGTGTGTGTCTGTGTGTGTGTGTGTGTGTGTCTGTGTGTGTGTGTCTGTGTGCGTGTCTGTGTGTCTGTGTGTGTCTCTCTGTGTGTGTGTTGTTTAAGCCTGTTTGGGGTAGTTTTGAAGAGAAGCCATTTTGGGGGTCCCCAAAGAACAAAACACACCCACAAAAAATGGTTGCAGCAACCCAGTGCTTCCAGGGCAGCCAATATAGGCAACCAAAGGAAGCAAAGCCTGGAGGTCAACAAACTGACTACTACAGTGGCAACTGGAAGCAGCGGGACAACGAGATGGGTACCCTCCCAAAAAGAACATGGAACTTGCGCAGGGGTCTGTTTAGGACAATGGTCTTCCAGCAATCCCTGTGGCGATTCTACGCATGTTTTTGTAAGGGTAATACAATCAGGGACACCCAAAATTAATACAGACATGGGTAGCCGCAACTGTGGTGGATCCTCAAAGCGTTTTTCGTTGGGAAAATAATATGTTCTGTTGTTGGTCCGACCCATTTTGCGGAGATGAAACCACATACCCAATTGACCCTCACATATCTTACAGAATATGTACGAGTATACATATTTATAAGGGTCCCTTTTCTGGAGGCACTTTTTGAGGTGGTTCTAGCCCAGCTCTCGACATTTCTGGCCATGTCATGATCTATGTAATTGTATCTGACTGATCTATCTGTATTGTATGTTATTTCCAATTTGGGAGGGGGTCTGACAGACCTCAAGGAAGTCGAACAGACTTCATGTCGACTTTTGTTGAGGGTCCCGGTATCTGTTTGTTGTTTTTTTTTATGGGAAATCAACAGGATCACCGATATTCATTTTGGGGGTCCCCCGATTTCACACATACCCACTTACCCCCGGCACGGTGCCTTCCCTCTCAGGCCGAGTTGTGTTGTCTGTTCGGTCCACATCTAATCATGACCCTTTAAGTTCCGATTGGTTGCATTTATATCAGCCCTTTGGACGACTTGTCAAATCCATCTTCGGGATTCGGCAAATGAACAGAAGAAGCCGGGAAAGGGGGGGGGGGTTCATCCAAAAAAAAGCCTCAAAAAGCAATGGCTTTGCGAGCTCCAAATTCATCTTCTGGGGAAACATGGTTCGAAAACATGCTCCCATCAAAGCCCTTGCAACCGGTGATCCTGGTAGACAACGAGGATCTTTTTGGAACTGACCAACATATCTAACCCATTCTCAGAAGCAGGCTTTCAAGTGGTAGGCCACGGAACCAATGATGAATCAAATCCTGGCTAATAAAAAATCGGGGGGGGGGGGGGGGAGAGGGGGTCCCGTTGCTTTGGATATAAGGTGGCATGTTGCTAAACGAGTGCTAAACAAACCCCGAGCTTCCAGACACAACTATATAGGTATTGATGTCAGAACTACCTTAAAAAGAAAAACAAAAACAACAACAAAAACAAAAAACAGCAAGGCGAGCATTTTTTTTTTTTAGCCCATGTCAGTTGGTAATCACTGTACATCATGTATAGCTACCTACCAACAACAGTAGGTCACCAGGCATGAATAAACCCCTTTTCACATGCCGGTTTCCCTCGGCCGGGAAACCCGCGAAGTGGCTTCCTTGAAGGACGTCAGGTACATCCTGACGGCTGCAACCGCCGTAGAGTGACAGTATTAATTAAACTCAGTGGTTCAGTGACCCTGGAAAAAAAGGAACCCTTTTTGGGGCTTGGACCATTTTAGTGGGGCAGTCACCAAAAAAGGGGGAAAAAGACTTGGTGTCACTGAACAACTGAGTTAATACAGCAAAATGGGCAAGTGTCAAAATCGAGGGACACCGAGACTAGTATTTCCGCAAAATGCCTAAAATGCCTAAACGCATTGAGAACCAGAACAGCTGGGAACTCCTCGTTGGAATTGCTCCTTCAACCAGTACGGAATCGCTCGCCCGCCCAGGGCACCGAAACATCCAGGCTCAAGCACCCGCGCTTCCCAGCGACTCCATTTAGGTAACCAAGGGAACCGGCCGAACACCAAAAGTTGGACATGGCGAATGGCGAGCTACCATGGCTGTGGCGAATTCAAAAAACCGGAAAATTCCAAAATGGCGCAAGCCCGATCGGTAAGTGGAAACATGGGTACCAAAACCTGCAGAGCCAGCCCCTCCTGTTTGATTTTGAGCCACAGCCATCTCTGGGATCTGCAATCATCTTTCCGGACGGCCAAAGGAGCTTGGAACCCTGGCGTTTGGAAGAGGGATCGCCTGGTTACTTACAGTGGCGAAACGCCTAAGATGCACTGGGCATAAAAAAGGCAAACAAAACCCTCAGCGACGTCGTTTATGGCACCGGTTCGATCAACGCCGACGAAGAGATAAAGCGGATGAAGATGAGAAACTCCAAATACTGTATAGGATGACAAGGGTATAACGGTATACAACCCTTCAAACAACCCACACGCGAAACAAATGTATGAGGGTACAACTCTTGGTTGGGGACCCTTGGCGGACATGATTCATCTCTTTTGGTACTCGCCAATATGTAATATGCACAGTGATGCCATTTCCCTGTATAGTAGGTAAACAAGAGAACCAGTTTTTCAAACCAAAAAAAAAGACTAGTTACCTACCATATTGGTAACTCGGATCCACTGGGAAGCAAGAAGAAGGCTTTGCCTTTTGACGATTCGATGCGTCTAGAGGAAACGAGGACACGCCCCCCTCAAAGAAGCTTTGTACACAAGGGGCGTCCTTTTATAGACTCAACCGATCCCAAAAACAAATCCAAACCGTAATCCGTCGTGTGACGCCACAAGAAAAACCACAATGTCATGTGGCAGAAGGATTCAGGATTATGATTGAACCGTCCAAAAAATACAAACCTTGCCTATCACAGGGTCTCCCAAACACCCAAAAATCACGCGATTTCGATTTTCGGGCGTCGTCTGCTCCTGGCACTTTGGCGAACAATTGGATGGCCTTGCCCTAAAAATGGGTACCTGCCCCCCAAAAATGATCGGGTGACTTCCACTTTTCTGTGAGGTGGGGTCCATTTGTCAGGCTCTCTTTCAAGCTCATAGCCAACTCGGGGAGCCGAGGGCTCAACCCATACCCAGCGCCAGCCGTTTTCGTGCGCGGCCGAGGCTCCGGGCTGTCGCACGCTGGAGATGGAGGGCTTGCATCGCCAGTCCGGCAGAGCCTGCGGTGGGTACCCTCCCAACCAAATATTTCCAGTAGTGATGATCTCCTTTTCGAACCAACAAGGAAAAACATTGTTTAAACAAAAAAACAAATCTTCAGCAAATGGAGGTTTTCAGAGCTAAGCCGCCCACCAGCTAACATGGGGTTTGTGCACAGACCCCTGTAGAAAGACGACTTTCCTCTTGGTTAGTTGGCCTTTTTGCACAAACCCAGGTTAGTTGGTGGGAGGGTATTTCGAAGACCAACGGCCTGGCAACCCATGGCGTTGGTCAAATTGGACCCATGGCTCGGACCCAGAAATGCCTCAGTTGCATAAAGGACCCAGAAATATATAAGGTTAACCTGTCAGAAGGGCGCCTGACATGAAGGTTGTTTTTTTGAAACACCAGGATGTAGTTGCTGTTTGCGAATGTCAATGTGTCCTTGGTACTTTGGGGCCATCACTACCAATGGACCAAAAGGGGAACTAAAAGGTCAAAGGTCGAAATAAGCCTAAGGAGTAGCCCTCGCCACAGTCCAAACTTGATATAGGAACCCTTAGCCTAAGCCTAAGCAGGGCAAAAACAACACATCGGCCTTCCTCAGAACACAAACAAGAAGCCCAGGCATCCCCAGCACGGCTGCTCACCATCGAGCTTTGGGCAAGGACCCCTTCACAGGAACATTCACCTGGCCACTTGGAGTAAAGGCTTAATTGTGTGAGTGACCAAAACTTATTGATCCTTTTGGTTCCAAGGTGGTAGAGCTGTATTTAGGCCTCACGATAACCCCCATGAAACCAGGTCGAAGCACCTCGCACGTTTGCGGCTTGCGGGTTCTCACTGCTCACTTTTTAGGCCCCGCCCGGGGCCCGCCTTGCGCCAGCCCCTCAGCCCCTCAGCCCCGGCCTCCAGCATCTTGATACGCTGCGCGAAGTGAACCGGCAACTCCTGGCGCTGTGCCGCTCGTTTTGCGCACGAGCAAGAAAACCCAGCGCCGAATTGGGTGTCCTATTTGCTATGCCTCGAAACAGAGCTGACATTCGCAACACGGAAGTTAAGGCATCTCAAAACAACAGATGGGTCAAAACAACGAAAACTTCTTGAGTGAGCTCGCTTTATTTAACCCAGGAGATCTTGTTATACTCTCTGCAAAGAAATGGGAGACTCCTGACTCCTGACTAGCAGGCTGCGATCTACGTTCAACATGAAGCTTGCCGGGACAAGGAGAAGCAAGGGTGGCATACCCATCCCAAGAGGAATCGTTCTCCTTGGTTGTTGTTAATGGGTGTGTGTCTTGCTTTGAGGGTACCGTACCCCTTGAAGCAACATCCTTGTCGAATTTTGCTTGATTTGAAAGGGAGACCGTGTCTTCTCCATTTTTTTCGAACAACTAATACGACGTTGACCTTATTTGACTGCGCTGGGACCAAAAAGTCTTGGCATCGGGAGATTTCTATTTCGGACTTCCCAGCGAAATGAGGCCCAACAAGGGGTCCAAGGAAACCTCGAGCAAGGACAACGTGTGGCGTGCGTATCCATTGTTCGGCCAGCCTCCAAACAAAACAGCTGAAGCAACTTATGCACTGCTTGTAGAGGACACCCAAACCACCTCCGTGCAAGCAAATTATGTATCTCTTTTGTCCTGACAAGATACAGTAATACAAGAAGGCAAAAACAAATCTTTTCCAACGACAGGTCTCGTTACACGAGTGTTGGTGAAGGCGCAAACAATGTCTCACCAAAATCAGTCCGAAATATGTGCTTGCCACTAAAATGGCCTTACTACAAAGCTTACAGGGGTGAGCAACACAGCTGATGTACACTGCAACTGATGTTGACCAACAACTGATGCTAAGTAAAGCAAGGTATGCGTCGGGACCAAGATCGGTGCGGGGGGGGGCGGCGAGGTTTGGGGGGTTACTTGAATTGTACATGATGGACCCTTACAGCAATGTAGGAATCCCTTGCATCATGCTTTGTACTGCGTGTGAATGTCACAGCTGGGTATCTTTGCTCTTGCATTCCGCAGTGACGCAACCCCACATTCTCACAACTTCAGTCTCTGCGCCTTGCCATTCTGACTGCTTGGGAATATATCAGTATCCTTTGAGCCTTATTTGCGGGGGGAGGTTCGGGGGAGAGATGGTGCCGTTCTTGTTCATTGAAAACAAATCACATAAGTTCTGCAATCATGGTGACTCTACGGAACGGCGTTGTTTGCTGACTGATTGAAAGGCTCGTCTTCTTGCTGCTTTTCACATGTTGGGACTAAGATCGGTGGATGTGGTCCATGTTCGTTCCTTCCAAGAGCAGAATCACAATTGTTTGACTCAAATCATACTGGAATTGACCACATCCACCGATCTTGGTCCCGACGCATGGCTAAAGCAACTGATGAAGCCAATACATTGGATGCTAACTGGTCCTTTGCGAGCATGACCTGGACAACCAGCAACCAAACACCTCTAAACTAGGAGTTGTCTTTTCTTCGTTCATGCGAGGGCAAAGATGTAACTGCGGTCTGGTCTGCAAGGGCTTGGACCTTAGAAAGGTTCGTTTGGGTCTGCCTTCTTTCCGAGGGTATCTTGTTTTAGTGGCTTGGAAAGGGAACCCAAGAGGACTCCAACCATGTTGGAGCTCCAAAAAATCAATTGAGAAAAGAGCCAGCCGCCCAATTTGAGGTACCTGGACCCTGAAATTCCCCTTAAAACATGGGGAATTCGCCCCACCATTTTGGGTTGCAATCACCCATTTTAAAGCGCAGTCTGAAAAAACAGCTCAGAAACCCACAGGCTCGTCGGTTTTTTGGGGAGAATTACCCCCCTTTTCCAGGGGTGATTTTTTAGGGACACCAATAGTAAATCCCACCGGTTCCCCGCCAAGATCAAGATTCTTGGGGCAAAGGACACCATTTTGCGGGGCCCCCAAAAAAACAACACACACTTGATCTGCTCCGGCTGCCCCCTTTGGAAACCTCTTCAAATAAAACCACCTTTGCAATGAGGTGTGTCACACACACACACACGTGTTGAGGTACCCAGATTCGGGCAAACAAAGACAACACTCGTCTGCAGAGCGCGGAGTTGGGTTCCTCGTGCAGGAGCTGCGCAAGTTCCTCCGCGTTGGAGTGGTTGGCCACCTCCAGCAGAGTCTGCCTCGAACGAGCAGCCGAGACGGAGCCGTGGCTGGTAGCTTAGTAACCTGCTAGTAACTTGGTAACTTAGTAGCTCAATTACTTAGTAACTTGGAAGATTCGCGACCTGGTAGCGCCATTTCGCCCGTAGCGCCATTTCGCCCGGATTTCTGAGTCGATTCCCCTGTAAATACCAACAAAGAATGATGTCAACCACTATGTCCAAATGGTGCCCTATGGATTTCGTCCATCCACCGTAGCTTATAGTAACCTGCTAGTCACCTGGTAGTTGAGTAAGCGGTTAGTAACTTCGTAAAGTTTGAAGGGCTAGTAACGTAGATACGGAGTGGTTCGTAACTGTGAAAGGGGTTAAACACTTTTCAGGTAGCTTTGGTTGGAATGCACTTCGGGGTTGCAGAGCCTCATCTGTATCGCAACAACAAAGCTTGGTTGGGCGGATCCAGGGTGGACTTCTTTCGAGGGATTTCAGGTTTATTGGTCGGGGGGGAGGGGGGGAGGGGGCTTTCTTGTGGGGGGCTTTGTCGAGGGAATATACACATCACCGGCAAAATGTCGAGTGCAAATTGCAGTTTGTTTTTTGAGTCTTGAAGCTTGGTTGCTGTTGACCCCTCTGCAAAAAGTTTAACTCGTTGTGGGTTTAGTTAACAACAAATGTGATTTCCCAAAAAGTTAAAGCCTAAAGATCCAACCCAATAGCAGTCTAGGAAGGGTCTTGTTCTGGAATCCTGACAGGATAAAATCAGGATGCGTACATGCGTGACAATATCATCGCATTGTCTCCGCACCCTCACGCCCAGGAGATGCAAAACCTAACTCGGGAGAGGGGTTAGCTTTCCATGTTGGCCATCTATAACCACACACGAAATACGTGGTCCGTTGCAGTTCTGAGTCTGTTGGGTATGAATCAATCTAGTTGCTGGGACCCCTTGCTGAACATCCTGAGATCAAAGATGGTTGTCATTTCCGTCGACCACATTTGAACACAAAGCAACGTCATTACACGTCTTTGGTTTAGAGTACTCCAAACCACGCCTGATTTCGGTGTGTCTAAAGTAGGACACCCCAAAAAAAGGGTGGTGCGTCGCCTTGGCTCCCTACATACCAACTCAAAAAGAAATTGCAGAACCCGAAAAGGTGGGACTCCCCTGTGCGGCGTAAGGTGCACCCATGGTTCCAAACCCAAACCTTGCTTTTCACTGTTTTGGGAGGTCAACTCAGAAAATTGGAAATTGGTGATGTCCCTTTAGCCTACTGTGGATGGACGAAAATCTGCACCACCTAAGAAACCATGAGACACCATTGTTTGTTGGCATTTACAGGAGAATCAACATGTTTCAGGGTTTCTTAGGTGGTCTAAGAGGATTTCGTTCCTCCACAGTAGCACTGAACAGGGGTAACAAAAAAAAAAAAGCGTTGATCCAAAAAAACTCGCTCCGCGTCCAAGGGGCATGGTGAGGGCCCGCGGCGTGCGCAGGGCCAGAGTGGTGATCTCCGCCTCACGTTTCGGGGGGATATTCCGACGAGTGGACTTCCTTGGGAGAAAGGGCACCTGACCAAAATGAATACTGTGGATGGTTACGAAATCCTCTTAGGCACCACCGATCAGAAACCCTGATTTCTGTTGATTCTCCTGTAAATACCATCGAACAATGGTGTCAACCATGGTTTCTTAGGCGGTGCAGGATTTCGTCCATCCACAGTAGGAAAAGGGGAGCCCCCTTGTTGTTGTAGTTGACATCAAAGGGAACCCCCTCCAACAACAAAAAAGAGTAATATATCTAACATCAAACAGAAATTCCGTCCCATGAAAGAAAATAATAATAATAATAATACAAACAAAAAGAAACCGTTCTGAAGGTCTGGTGATGGTGTCCTTTGGGACCTCAAATACTCTGGGACTTCTGGACGTCAAAATGGAGGAACCCCCACAATGGGCTTGGGCTTCCTGTCCGTTTTACAACCCCTCTGCAGAGAGTGAACAACTTGTGGGTTCAATGGAAAAAAAAAACCTGATTTCCCAAAAAGCGAAAGTCTAAAGATCCAACCCAAAAGCAATCAAGTATATTAATCAGCCCTGCAGAAGGGTGAATACCCTCAAAAATTAAGACACCCAAATGAGCAGTGTTTTTGTTGGTGGTTCGGGGCCTGTGCACTTCCATGCCTAAGCGGAAGCCTCCGCTGCCCAAATTATCAGTCCAAAGCCAGAAAGAAAGAAACTCCTGGTAACGGACCTTCAGGATGTGTGAGCTCGTGAGAATATTCGCCCGAATAGATGCATTCCACGAGCAAATGACGTCCAACCAAACTGAAACCAGTAGAATCGTCAACCAAGCTGACTGGAACGGACAGCTATGGACTTAACCAAACACCAACTGGTTGGTGTTGGGGCGGCTTAAAGGGAAACTACCCATGGTTTGACAGTTTCTTGAGACACGTGCAAAATGGGCATGATGGTGCCGGATTGCTTCAGGTGCCCCTTCGGGGTCGTTTTGAGGGGTGACCAAACAAAAACTCAGAGGGCACAAGTACAACACTCCTTGAGCAGCCCCCAGGACCCATTGGCTTTTGGTTCTATCAAGATGTTGCATAGCCCTTACAATTTCTGCTTTCGCCAGGCAGCAGAGGGGCTTTGGGCGCTGCTTCGGAGACAAACCAACACAAAACGGCTCCATGTCCATGTTTGGATGCTGCTCATTCGATGAGACATGAGCTATGTGTCCTGTTCAAGGGGAGGGGGGCGCCCGCTTTTGTTTGACTCCCAGCACCTGTCTTGGGATGACAAAAAAAGCAAGAATTCCAAAGCAGGTCTGGGTTTGGAAAAAAACAGGGCCCTGTCAAAGTCAACAGTTGGAAAAACGGGTACGCTCTAATGCCTGGTTCTGCCTCGGTCTAGACATACTGCAGAATGCCTGTTTTTGCATGGACCAATGGGCAAGCACTGACCATCTTGGGTGCTTGAACGACAATTCCGAGCTTCCACTCGCCTTCCCTCCTGTCCACTAACCGGAACCTGCCCATTTTCTCTGGTGGGTTCCATGGCAACGTGGACAGGAGGGTTTTTGGTGTGGCCTTCAGAAACTTGCTGGTGCTCAGTAGGGAATGTGAGAATCCTTTGGTCCCCCCAAAGGAGACCACCAGTTGGATGCTAGTCGCCATTCCAATTCTCATTCCCTGCCTATCGCACCAGCAAGGAAATGCCTTCTGAAACTCGAACTTAAACTACACCAGGGCAAAAACCGCGGGTTTGAGTAACCCTCACTCGCACTAACAGCACCTCGCAGAGGCTCCCTCAATCTTCCAGGTACCCTCCCGCAAATACTGACCGAAATCTTCTCCCATTCTTTATGGGTACTTTGAGGGTCAAGCTACGATCCTTGTTTCGACCTTTTCCTTAAAACAACCCATTTGAGTCACAATCAAAACCCGGTGAAATTGTTGACCCAGAACCATGCAAGCCAGATACAACGGCGGCCGCAACTATTTATGGCTGGGACTGCCCCTTACTAACCTTCGTCTACCCGGGTTTTGAGCAAGTGGCTCATTTGGCTGTGGCTCAGAAACTGTGCCAAACTGGCTCCTTGGTAGATGGAACCAACGACTAAAACCTTTTTGTACCCCGGGTTTTGAGTGTGACTCAGGTGTTCCAAAAGCACCGACTCCCCTAAAACCGACCAGAAGTTAATCCCCAGCTCATTTGTAGCGATTCTTCCACCGAACGGCCCCTTGCTCCCCGCTTGGTTGAGACCTCGCGTCTTGGCTGGAATTAGGAACCCAGCAAAAAATATAGTTTTTGCCTGGCTAGTGGAAAACAAAGGGGACCCCAAAAAAGCAAAAAAAAAAAAAAGGAAAAGGGGGAGCTAATTCTGGGGAAGTCGTTTCGAGGAACGAGGTGCGCCGCCTCCAGCAGCTGCTCCAGGCGCGCCATGGAAAGGGGCACCGCCTCTCGGGTCCGGTTCCGGCCGGGTCCCGGGTCCCGGGTCCCGGGTCCCGGCGGCTCGGTCCCGGGTTCTGGAGCTTCCCTAAAAAAAAAAAAACGGCGGGTTTTGTTTTTTGCTTTGTAAAAAGAAAGTCAAACACCACTCTTTACTATATATGTTGTCATTGAATTGTATGTATTGTTCTTGTTCAGGTTTCTCAAGTTTGTTTGGTGTTTCTGACAAGACCGTGGCACAGCCTGTAAAAACAAGTGCACTCCCAGGGCGTCCTGCGTTGGAAAGAAGAAAGTAAAACACCCACACCCACGCATCAGACTGATGGACCGTGAACAACCGATACCTCACCTGCAAAATCCTGGCCCAGCCAAAAAACACGCACTGGTATACATGCGAACCCCCTGAGTTCCCCTTTTGGTCATGGCATTCACCAGGTGAGTCACAATCAAAACCTGGTACAAAAATGGTGAACCCAGAACCATGTAAAGAATTAGAAAGGCGGCCGCAACTATTTCCGGCCGGGACTACCCCTTACTAACCTTCATTTACCGGGGTTTTGATTGTGGCTCAGGTTAGGTTTGAATGCGGGGGATCCTTTTGCTGGAGTCTTTGCTTGAGCTTGACTTAGAGGAATCCAACATTTCTGAGGCCATTTGGGTGTTATTTTGAGGCACTCGCTTGCGATGGACTGAAAGGGAAGCCAAAAGGCAAACCACCATTCTCCCCCGAATTTTGACACACACACACACACAGAGACACTTATCTATGTTCACAACCAGGCAGTCTTCAACAAGGGTCACATGGGGCATTGCTAGGCTGTTCGCAGGCCATGTGGATCCTGGATCAATAAACCTGGAAGATTCCGGGATGTGTTCCCCCAAAAAAAAACTTGAATCTATTTCTTAAATGGGACACATATCCGCGAACTTCGAGGGGGCTTATAAACTTCTGCCTCCCATGCGGTTGACTCCCCTGAAGAACAACCCGTGGAGGCCTGATAAATCTCTCAGCACCCTCTATGCCTGGCAGGCGACGTCCTCTTCAGGTGTTCTTCCACTAGACCACTCCGAGCCGAAGCAGGAATATCACACTTTAGCCTCATTCAAGAGGTATCCCCGTAGGAAGCATCCTGGGATTGCCTTTTGCCGCTTGGAAGCACCCCCAACATGATTATAATAAACGCACACAAAACGGAACTGGATTTGCTCCAATCCAAGGAGGGGTAAAGTAATGGAAACCCCTAAGCCTTGCGTGTGTGTGTGTGTGCGCCTGTGCTTCCATGTGTGGTCCGTGTGTCTGTGTGTTAATTGCTCTAGGTGCAGGCGTGAAGTTGTTCTTTGCATGTGTTTGCGTCAGTGTAGGGGTGTGTGTGTGTGTGTGTGTGTGTGTGTGTGTGTGTGTGTCTGCGTGTGCTCCTTCAGTGAATCTTGAATTGGAAAATAGGGGGTAGCAGGTGTCGCTTGGCGGGAACCAATGCTGAAGTCATCAGTGTCAAACACTTCTACACATTCTCAGTCAAGCAAGCAAGCGAGCGAGCTAGCAAGCAAGCAAACGATCGAGCAAGCGATCAAGGAAGCAAACAACCAAACCAGCAGGCAACCATGCAAGCTGGCAAACTAGCAAGCAGCCCAGCAAGCGAGCAGGCAGTTTTAAACAATCAAGTCAACACGAAATCAGGAAGGAACACTGCTACACTCACACATACACGCAAACACATGCTGCGATCCAATCACCCCATCGTAAAACTTTTGCCACACCCACCTGCATTTCCTAGCGACACCCCATGTTTCCCTCTCTTTATGGCTATTACGACTTACGAACCAACAATCATGTGTAGGAGATGAACAACAGGTATACTAAGCACCAACCCAAAGAACACAAGCTGCAAGCGTCAAGCGTCTCCCCATCGAAGTTGGCCTGCGTCACGATTCCTCGCTGTATCCGCACCACCTAAGTCAGGCTAAAGCTGCACACCTCGATTGCTTGTTTGCCTTTCATCGATTGGATTCGACCTTTGACCTTCTTGCCAGATTATCTTCTGACTTTAGCACCCTTCTCACCAAGGAGCAGCTCAGTTGAGTCGCAATCAAAACCCGGTATTAAATGGTACCCAGAACCATGTAAAGAATTAAGAAGGCGGCCGCAACTATTTCTGGCTGGGACGGCCCCTGACTAACCTTCATCTACCCGGGTTTTGATTGTAGCTCATTTTCCACTTTCTCAGGGGGTGGGAGGTGACGGTCATTTCGACGACGGTGCAGCCCAAGCAATGAAGAACTTCGTCTTATCCAGTTGCAAGCTGAGAGCTGAAAGGATAGGTCTGTCACCAACCAAGACCAACAGCTTTCGGAACGTCAAGGATAATTTTTCCGAAAGCACGCCCCGAGTGTGGCGACTGCCACAAATGGCTGTGGCTCAAAATTAAACAGGAGGGGCTGGCTCCGCAGGTTTTGGTCCATGTTTCCACTTACCAGGGCAAGCGCCATGTTGGAATTCCGTTTCTTTGAGCCACAGCCAACTGCGGCCACCGGATTTTTCCTCGGCTCCCCGCGCGCCAAGCTCGCGCAGGCAAGCGCTGAGCGACCCGAAGCATGGCGGAGCCAAGATGCATGGCTCCGAAAAGCCCAGGTCAAGAGCGACCAAAACCCCCAAGAGCGGCTGTGCGGTCAGCCACAAATCACTTGGAACCTCCATGTTTGCCCCAGAAATATGGAGGGATTGCATTTTCTGGTTGCATGTCTGGCGGCAACTCAAAAGGACACATTCAAAAAATGTGCCATGTCACATGACATGACTATTCCCCTCTAACACACCACAAGTGGAGACATCACAAGTGGACAAATCCTAAGTTCACCAAAAACAACTTGCCAAATCAGCAGCTAGATGCGTCTCTGGGTCGCTGGTTCTCTTCTTCGCGAGCTGGAGCCGGGCCACAAACTCTTTCGCAAAAGCCACAGGTTTGTCCGACTGGGTGCGTCGTTTGTTTGGTTGGTTTTAAAGGGAAACCAAAAGGACAACCACCATTATGTTTTGGGGGCCTTCGCAAAAAAAAAAAGACACACCCAAATGAGACCCAAACAATGGGTGCGTTGCCTTTCAATTCCCTTGACAAGCTCCTTACACTCAAACGCATCGGTCTCAAAATGGCGGTCCAGCATGTGTCACTTTCCTTCGGCCGCTGTTCAAGCAACCTCAGAAGGGGGCGAACCTTGCAAGAGGCGCACTCACACCTGGGATGCCCTCAGATCTCCTGCTGAAAGTGTAACTTTTAGTGGGTTAAATGGAAACCCAACCACAAAATCCCCAAAAAGCTAAAAAGCTAAGGAACCGGATGGCTGGGAGCCACGACTCATCACGACTCACACGATGTCCAAACATGAGTTGGACCATCGCAAGAGGCTTCCTCTTTGGTTCCCGGCTGAAGCCACCCAAGTCGCGGATCCTTTCTGCGAAACGGAAAGCCAATGCGAAATCAACGTGGAAGCAAAACGCTCGGAACCCGAATCGGCAGAACCCACCCCAATTGCTTGAGCTGCTTGGCTTCGGACTGCGGTCCTTTTCGTTCCCAAAAAGATCGAGCTTTTTTCTGGCACGTGCCTAACATGGAATTCTGGGATTGTAGTTTGCCCAACATATTGCGAGGGAAAGGCCCCACGTAGTCCACTGAAATCTACCCCTCCGGTTTGTGGTTGGATGTGGCTGGTTGACTTGCAATGCTCCCCAAATTCACATGCAACCCTTGAAAAGATGGCCGATTGCTCAAAAGGAAGTTCCTCCAAACGCTGGAATTTTCGGAGGCTTCATCGTCATCTGCAGCAAAGTACACTCCCTCGGACTAGCATGGAAGCTCCCAGAAGGCCTCTGTAAATGGAACCAAGTCTTCCGACGGGGTCCTGGGAGCGTCCATGGAATCGTCTGGGGGAAGGTAACTTGGGAACCCGCGGACGAGGAGCGCCGAACAGTTTTCTGCACAGCAAATGGCCGCCCGTGCACCGCTCGGCGTGTTGCCGCGGCAGTTTCCTGCAGGCCAGCCTCGCCCAATACCTTGCGAAGATTCCGAGCGTCGGGTTGCACCTTTCGTTGTTAGTGGATGGGGATGGGAAGTCATACGGAAAACCACTGTGAGAAGTACGCCAACATGGGGCAGCACTCCCTTCAAGCACAGGCCATGTAAAGAATCTAAGGCCAACTGTCAACTGCATGACTGCATGTATTCTTGGAGCTGTCCCCAACCAGGTCTTGACTGTGGCTGGTTATAATAGTCCTCCATTCTTGGCAGTGATGGAAACAAGCTAGTGGTCTGGTTCCGGCATATCTGCAAAAACGGGCCACTGCCAAGCATGTGGGAAATTGATTAGGGGGATCCGGAAGCACGGAACCCCAAGTCTCGGTTGAGCTCATGATACCCCCTCCCCCAAATGCTCTCGTTATAATTTGCCAAGAAAATGGATCACACCACAGGGTCTAAGCCATGCCAGGCCACAAAGAGATCAGAAGGATTGACACATACAACTCACAACATTCATGGTAGTCTATTGTTCGTTTGGGGAGGGCAAGAACGTGGGCCCACACAACCACAAAACCCATGAGCCCATCCAACTTCCAATGTCCTCTTCGAGGAGACACATAATTTTGGCTGCGCTCAGGAAGCAAATGTGCTTTTGGCATAGCCGTCGACATTCTCTGGTGACACCGTTTACATGCGGGTGAATAGGGCACCGAAAGTTGTTGATTTCCCGCCCGCTGGGTCCTGTTCAATTACTCACTGGGATCAGCAGCACAGTGTCCGGGACCCACAAACCACCCCAGGCCCCCCAGGCCCCCCCGTCCCCGTCCCCACCTCAAAATCCAGCATCGGGCCAACATCTTCAACCGTCTTCAACCCACTCTGCGGAAACTGATAAAACGCGAGTTTTACCCAAAGGGCCACAATATGCGCCAATTCTTCAAACAGCCTCAGTCCCCATCAACAAAAACTCAAGGTTAGCATTCTTTAAACCACCCCCCAACCTCAACTGGTTGAAACAGGTACGGCTGCCATACATTACCCTTCCAACAAAAAGACATGAAAGACACGGATTGGGAAGGGCTTCCTTCTTGCATGGCACCGCTCTTGCTTTGCGAACATCAAGAACCGCGTCCCAACCCAAAGGTCTTTCCCACCGTGACCTCGGCTGTTGCCCACGGCCAACGCTATCTTGCATGTGTCTCGCCGTGTGTTGTCAACCTAAATGTGGTTGTGGGTCAAAATCCAATTTTGGGGTATGCACTACCCGTTTTAGTCTATTTTAGTGGGGATTGGGATGTTCACTGGGGGTACGGGATTTTGACCCATGGCCATGTAAATCGGTTTCGAAAGAGATTCCACTGGTGGTCTAAATTGGATTCAAATGAGATTCCCTGGTTGTCCCAACCATCAGCTGCAGAGGTCGCCGAGCTGCAAACATGGACGGGCGCGCATCAGATGCATCACCTGGATTGGTCTTTGACCCCCTGCATAAAGTCAAAACAAGTTACATCGATTCCCGGCAAAAGGCATGTTGTTTGATACTTAGCAAGGAAGTCGTCATTTTCCAAAGGTTGTTTTTTGCTAGCGTAGGGAAGCAGCCGTTGTACCATGGTTACAAGGAAAGCAGTCATTTCCCAAAGGGTGAAAGGTTATATGGCCATGGGTCAAAAGCCAAGTACCCACAGTGAACATCCCAATCCCAGAAAGGGTGGTCGCCTTCACATCGGAGGGGAAACCACTAAAAAAATGATCTTTCCGAACAGCTACCATGGTCACTTGGGGGCCAGGAATATTGATCAACCCCTATTTGCCAAACGGTGAAAGTCTATATAAAAGTCGTGCCAAAAAGCAACCAAGCCACTTCCGGGTGGACGGTCTTCATCCTCCCGCTTCAATTTCGCTTTCAACGGCGCCGCAGGCGCCATCTCCGCCATCATCCTCGAAAACGGATAGATCTGGCTGTGGGTCAAACATGGGTACCCAAAATGGAACCCTGGTAAATGGAACCAAGGACTGAAACCTGCGGTCCCCTGGTGGTTGAATTTTGACCCATACACCCATCTGAGGGGGGCTCGAAAACACAAGCAGCAAATATACACAACAAGCGCAACACAAGAGACAAAGGAGATCTCAGATGCAGAGCTGCAAAAGGATACTGTCACTCATGGTTGCTACCCTTCAAGTGCCTTAAATTGATACCCTGGAGAAAGCCAATATATGTCACTCGGCCACATCCTGAAGCACCAAATCATGCGAACTGAGAGGCAAAATGGGAAAGTGTCAAACACAAAAGCTTGTGCTTAAAGAGGTCCAACTGGGCATTGCGTCGACGAAAGAAGCTTGTTTAAAGGTACTCTTTTCGCTTGGTTTGCCTAGGTTCTCCAGTAGAGAGTTAGAAAGAATAAGGGTACCAACTTTTTTCCGTAGTCTATTTTAGTAGGGGAACCCAAAACCCCAAAAAAGGAAACGGTAAAAGGGCACCTAGCTGGGGGACCTAGTTTACTCATTGATCCTCAAAAAGCAATGCCTTTGTTTGCCTGAACCCCGACCCCACGGCAACAAAATTTCTGCAGAGTCTCGGGTGGCTATAGACCAGGCCCTCCGGCAGGGTTGGCACATCGCAGGGCCCGAAGCGCCCTTGGTCCGCGCACTCCACTTTTGGATGAACTCTCCAGACTGAGACATGGGTGTGGGTCAAAAATAGGCGCCTGCCCAGGCTTTTGTCGCGCGCTACTCGTAAGCTTGTGTAAGTCAAACATGCCTACGCGAACCTGCCCTTAGTTGTTCAGTGACCCTGGAAAAACAGGGAACTCTTTTTTGGGAAGACCGTTTGTAGTGGGGCCACCCAAAAAAAAGGAAAAAGGGCGCCACACAACAACTGAGTTAACTCTCCAGACTAAGACATGGAGCCGAAAACCATCATCTTGAGGAGCGGAATCTTGTTTGGGAAAAGGTGCTCCTGGGGCTTCTTCGTCCAAGTTGCAGGGAAGTGGGGAAGCCGTCACTTTCCAATAAGCGCAAAAAGGGCGACCAAGATACCCCTTCCCTAAGCTGGGTGGGGGGGGGTTGGTGGGTGTCCCTGATTCTATAAGTGTTCCTCACACAAAGGAAAAACAACCCCAAATGAGCAGCGCTCAAAACTTATCTAGTGGCTCTACTTTTAATTAAAGGCTTTGCTATATATAAACCCCGACACGGCCAGGTAGTAGAACCACCTACTCCACACATTCGCAAGCAAGATCGAAGCTCCCCCGAAGAGTGACCCCGACCCCAATCCATGTTCGTCCTGGGTGAAACAGTGTTTCTGACGGCATTTGGTGAGAGACATGTGATGGCCTTGGTTTAGCGGGTTACCCAGCTGGCCTCTACGTGGGCGCTGGTTTCATTCCCTTAACCGTAACCCTTGATCAAGCTTCCGCGGCCCTTCCGCATCCATGGGCCCAAGAGGTCCTTTCCGCGGAGCTTCCGCGGCAAAATGTCTTTCATTGGTTGCTTCCACAAGCCTTCCGTGGCGCAGCGTGAACAGACAAGTGAGCTTAGGTAAGGAAAGTCGCAGCGCAAAAAACAAAGTGAGCTTAAGTAAGGAAAGTCATGATCCGCCTGAGTTGGTGCAGCGTGTGTAGGCTTGGGCTCCATTGGGCTACCGGTGCTTCGTGGGCGTTTGCCTGCAGACCCTTCCGCGGAGCTTCTGTGAGCGAAACCCTCCACGCAGACCGTGCGTTCAAATAATGTCCTCCTCCCTAGACTAGACCCCCTATGCTTTCAATTTGAGTGCAAACAAACATGCCGCTCATGTGGGGCTTTGGGAGCTCAAATGCAACTCCAAAGACAGCGGTCACTGAATGTCCCCTTCAAAAGTTGCAATTTATCAGTGGGTTCCATCGTTGAAACGATCGCCACTTTTGAAGCTTCCAAAAAGGAAAGTCTCGGGGGGGGGGGGGGAATCCCACCCCACCCAATATATGTCGTCTCAAAATGGGAGGCCACACTTGCCCGTTCGGAGCCCACGAAAAAGTCACAGGCCTGTGTGTAAAATTCCGCCCCTCCCACCACCCCCCACCCCACCCCACCCCACCCCACCCCACCCCACCCCACCCCACCCCACCCCACCCCACCCCACCCCACCCCACCCCACCCCACCCCACCCCACCCCACCCCACCCACCCCACCCACCCCACCCCACCCCACCCCACCCCACCCCACCCCACCCACCCCACCCCACCCCACCCCACCCCACCCCACCCCACCCCCCCCCCCCCCAACCCCACCCCATCCCAGCCAATCCCATGTTTTGCTGCGGGCGATGTTCTCAATTCCAAGCTGCCCGGCTGCCCCGGCGGCAGCTCTTTGCACCCAAAGGCCACCACCGAGCCGTCCGCCAGCCTGTCCATGCCGAGTCGGCTTGGGTGGTGGTTCCCCTTGATTATACGTTGACTAGGTCTTGCAGTAGAGAGGTTAGAATAAGTTGGTACCCTATTTTTTCTGTAGTCTATTTTGGTAGGGGAACCCTCCCAACCAAAAAAGGGGTGAGAAAGAGCACCTAGCTGGGGGACCTAGTTGATGTGCCTAAGTAGGCTTTGCCATAGAAAAAACTCCCTTGGGTAGTCTTTCAATTTGGGTAGGTTGATGTTCCATTTAAGTATTGAAACAAAAAGGCAAGATCAGGTGATTGTTGTTTGTGGTGAGGGGGCGTCTAGCATTAAAAAGTTGTTGGCTTTCGGCTTGGGGTGAGCGTGGGTGGAAGAGTTGGCCTCTGCTTCTTTGACTGCGCGCGTCATTTGGTGGCGCACTCGCGCACTCGCAGAATTCCTCCACAGACCTCCGACTCGACCCCAAAGCAGGAACCAAATATAAAGCCGAAACCAGGGCGCATCCAGCCCTCAACTCGTTTGATATGGGCCCATAAGGGGGCCCCCAAAATTGTGGTTTTGCCCTGTAATGTAGTTTCCCTCAAACACCGCTTGCAAAAGGGTACCTCAGAAAAAGAAGAAGAACAAAAACACGCCTCGAAATACGGCTATGACTCCTTTGGTTTAGCAAGAATACCCTCTCAAATGGTTGGTGGACACAAAGCTCCGCCTCAAGGATATCCACCAGAGGGCCCTCAGTCAAAGTTCACACGTGCCTTCAAGGTTTACCTATGGAAACCTCCTTTGGTTCCCCTTCGAAGGGCTACTTGTCCTTCTCACATCCCTTCAAACCCCTGCTCAAAGTGGCCTGGGGTTGGGTTTCATGGAAGGTAAGACACCTGAGAATCGAAATGCAACCTGTTTGTAGTGTTTAGTGGGTCAAGGGGCCCAAGTATCTTAATGGAACCTACCAAAGGATAGTTTGGGAGATTGGGTAAGGTTCATTGTCTCAGTATTCGTTGTTGGGCAAAAATTAAACCAGGTCTTAATCCATGTTTGCTTGTACCAGGGCAACCCATTTTGGATACCCATTCTTGACCCACAGCCGAAAGCTTCACTCCATGGCCCAAGATGGTCCCCTCATTTTTTCGTGGGTTTCGTGGAAACCCAACCACGAAACCAACCAAAAGGCTAAAACACCCAAAAGAAGCGTAAAACTAACCTTGCCACTAAGAAAAAGCCTACCTAAACAAAAAGTGGTTCATGACCCCTTTTCGGGCCATCACCCCCCCCCCATTCTGTGAGGGTCAGAAGCAAACTCCTGGTAGTGATAACGCCTTCAACACCGACGTCGCTCCGCGATCAAAGCCGCTCCGCGGATCGGCCTTAAGGCCGTGTGCCGCAGCCCGGCTGCGCAGCCCACGACGCAGCCCAGGTTCCTGACGAAAGCCCAGGCCATGCGGGAATGGACAGAATCCTGCACCACCCTATTGATTTGGGGGCCTCAAGATGGGCTGTTTTTGAGGGCTCATGAGGGCCGGGGTTCTGCATTCGAGGGATCATGACCCTTAGGGCAGTTGAAACCATGAGAAACAGGTTGGTCATCAGTTGGACCTTGTCATGATTCTCCTGTCCAATGTTCGAATCCCTACTGATGGACAGGATACAAGACCGCACCAGCAAAGGAAACCATGGGAATGAAACCAACGTTGGGGAGTCCAATCATTGTGTTGGGATTGAAACGGCTTTTGTCCTTCTACAGTAGGAAGGACAACAGGGATGTTTCTTGAACTGGGGCCCGACAAGTAAAAATTTAAGCACAGGCTGGTTCCGGGATGCTCCGCAGAAATTGGATTCCGGGCTCTCGAAGGGAAACTAAAGGAAAGTTGGCGTAGCTTCCCCCGCACGTGGTGAGCGTGCTCTTTTTGAGCACGACAAGCGGACAAAAGAAGTTTGGAAAATGAGAGACTGGCTCAAATGCGCAGGTGCCTGAACCAAAAGCTATTGAGTCCCCGCATCTTTGAGACTGGACAACTGTGGTAGTGCACGTTTCTTTTTTTTTTGGTCTAAGGCTTGATGTCTTGAGCGAGTTGTGTAGATCAAGTGCAACTGACATGGCTGACCCATGACTGCAAGCCGCAGTTAACGCGCAAAAAGCGCACTACCAGGGTCCCCTCTTCTGGTATTTTTTGGGTTGCCGGATTTTGAAGGGCACCCACTGAAAACAAAAGTTCATCAACAAATGGAATACCGCTAGTGGTTGGTTGCCCGACTTTCAAGCCCAAGGCCGAGCGAATGAAAACAAAGCTAGGATTGGGTCCGACTCTGATTGCTGGATTTCCAAGGCAAGGCTAAACCCTCTGCAAACAAGCAAACGTTAGACACACAAGTGGAAATCTGCGCAAATGTTTGCCAAGACGAAGCCGCTGTTTCAATCGTTGGCATGTACGTAGTGTCAAGATGTCCCCGAATGTGGCGTTTTCGAGCAGGCGGCTCGGGCCAGCCCATTCAAACAGGCTGAAAACACATTGCCGTAGCCATGGTTGAAACTACTCTGGAAGGAAGGGTCGGAGTTTGGGCTTGGGGGTTGAAACTAGTATTGCTTCATTTAACAATGGACCAAGGCCTGGCTCAAACACATTTTGCAACCAACGCTGAGCATGATTCCCCGGGTTGGTTTGGCCAAAAGAAGTCCGCACTTTGTGTACCACGCGCATCGCCTTGCCAAAACATGTTTTAAGCCCAGAACTCGGGAAATGAGTGATCTTACTTGGGGCTTAGACTCTGGTGGACCTCACTTTTTGGAGAGCATTTCTCACTCCAAGCTGGGTTGAGGGGCGATGAAATCCCCTTTACCTTCACGGGAGGGCTGTGGGGGTTCCGGGCCCAGCTCCATTTTGCTAGGCTTCGCCACTGGTTGTTGTCGACCCCCCGGCCAAAAGTTCAACTTCTTGGACGTTGAGTGGAAAACCCCTTGATGGCTCAAAAAGTTTACAGTCTAAAGATCCAACCCAAAGGCAGTTGACTAAATGGAGATCAGGGGTCGAACTTCCTCCCTCGATTCCATTGAGGTCATTGAGGTGGTGTGATGAAACTTGGCCGCGCTTCGGCACGCGGCAGCGCCCATCGTTGTCCCCGTGGCCCACGGCTAGCGCGCGCCCGTCACTGCGCACGAGCACCTTCAAAGCGGCTGGTTCGCTACGGCCCCCAACAAACGACCCCAGCACCCCCCGCCACAATTAAAAAAGGACACGTCGCAAGATAAACAGAAGCAATACCAGACAAGCAACAAAAGCAGCTAAGCAACAAAACAACTACACAACGATCAGTTTGCCTCCAATGGTGGTTTGGACTGGTGGCTTGGTGGTTCAGGGGTGGTTTCCCAATTTGCCCACGGAACCAGGGGTTCAACTCCCCAAACCACCAATCCAAACCACAAATTTACCAGAATACCTGAAACAAAGCCACTAATCCAAAGCAACAAAAACAACCACCCTGGAAGTAAGTGCCCTACCCCAGACGATCCACGCAAGTTATATATACCTTCATATCCTTGTAGGGCATATACATATATACATAATTATATACATGTGTATACATATATATATATACAAAATCAAGCAAGTGCCCTATCCATGTAGGCAACAAGTGCCCTAGCCCAGCACATGGAACCGAACAAAACCTAGGTCCTCCAGTAGAGAGGTTAGAATAAGTTGGTACCCTATTTTTTCTGTAGTCTATTTTAGTAGGGGAACCCTAAACCCCCAACAAAGAAGCGGTAAAAGTTGGCACCAACCGCTGGGGGACCTAGAAACACGCTCCGAGCGCCCAACACTTCCCGCTGCCAAGGGTACCGAGTGGTGGGCTCCCGCGGCGCAGGCCACGTACTGCAAACCACCAGGCCTCGGCAGCGGAGGTGTGGCGGGGCGAAACCAAAAGGAAGGGACCCGCCCAGTATGTATGTGTCCACACGTTGTCCACACGTATCGATACATACATATATGCAAATATACATATATGCATATATATATATATACATTTACATATTTTCATGACTACATATTTATATAATATTTGCACAGGTCTCTGCACCCCTCCCCCAAAGGTCCCCCGCCCTTCTGGATGTGGCCCTGTGGATGTGGCACGTGTTGCGTGCACTGTGGTACCGCCACTGGGATTTGGCAAGCTGGGGAAATCTAAGCCAACCCCAATCCAAGAGGAGTGTGTGTGTAGAGATGCTGCACAAAACATATATATATATATGTATATTGTGGAAAGCACAACGAACAAAAAAAGGCAACATTGACAACATATAAACACAATAAACCAAAGTCATCCAACACACCAACAGCGTAACCCACGAAGCCTCCCCAGCTCAAAAAAGAGGCAGCCTTATTTGAGATTGATTGCCTGTTTAGCCCCGTCCCCCCCAAAACAACACGAACACGAACACGCACACGAACAACAACAAGAACGATAACAAGAACAATAACAAGAACAAACAAGCCGCCGACAACAACAGCAACCACCACCACCGCCACCACCACCACCACCACCACCACCACCACCACCATCACCACCACCACCACCACCACCAATGATACCAACAACGAGACCAACAATGACACCAACAACGACACCAACAACGACATCAACAACGGCACAAACAACGACAACGACAACGACAACGACAACGACAACGACAACAACAACGACAACAACGACAACAACGACAACAACGACAACAACGACAACAACGACAACAACGACAACAACGACAACAACGACAACAACGACAACAACGACAACAACGACAACAACGACAACAACGACAACGACGACAACGACAACAACAACAACAACAACAACAACAACAACAACAACAACAACAACAACAACAACAACAACAACAACAACAACAACAACAACAACAACAACAACAACAACAACAACAACAACAACAACAACAACAACAACAACAACAACAACAACAACAACAACAACAACAACAACAACAACAACAACAACAACAACAACAACGTCTCCCCTAACTCAGCCCCCCGCCTCATTGAGGCTGTAATTGCAGGAAATCAGGGAGGGCAGGTCAGGGAAGCAGGGTTTCGATACTTCAGCCCCCTGCAAAAAGTTGAAAGGAAACACACGAAGGAACCCAACAAAAAGGAAGGGTCAAACAGGTCAGTCCCTTGTTTGCCTTCTTTGTGCGGGGCTCCTTCGCATAATATATACATATGGGTGTATATATATATACATATTATACATACATACATTCCAGAGATAGACTCCCTGTAAATCCAACCAGGGAGAAGAAAATCTGGGCCGCTCAAAATGCAGGGTTGGCCAGCCCTAATCCATAATCATAGGGAAGCCACTAAGCAGTCCAAATCTCTGCGTAACCCAAAGGTAAAGGATTAAGGATTCGCTTTGAACAGCCGGGCGAATAGCCTTGCATTTGCCTGTTAATTACCCCTGGGAAAATGAGAACATATTTCCACTAGTGAAATTGATGTCCTTTCACACCAACAAGGGTTGTTTGGATTAAACAAACACACACACACACACATTCCTTCCATTTGGCTAAGACCCCTGAACAAAAAAGTAGTGATAGATTCCCTTGAAAACCAACAGGGGCAATTAAAAAACATCTTAAGCAAATGGAAGATTCATTTCACCAAATCGCCCGCGGCGGGATCTCCAAACCGCCCGTGCCGCGGCGCAAGGCCGGGATCTGACACCTCGCCGCGTAGTCGTCGCCCAGCGCTAGCACTGCCCCGTCGCTACGCAGAAGCAGCGTGTGCTCCTGGCTGCAGGCAGCCTCCAGATATCTGCAGCCTTGGGGGCGTGTGGGGTTCCAACTTTTCAGCGCTGGAAACAAAACCCAAAGGGAAACCAGCAATTTGGGGGTGTTTGCACCCCACAAGGGAAGAACCCGCAGGGAAACCACCAATTTGGGGGTCCCCCCCTCAATTAAATCATTCACATGATAGCTTCATTCTGGAAGACCGGAAACCGTGGTTGACTGGCAAAGGAAACATTAAAAATCGCTTCATTCTGGAAAACCTCGTAGGTTGTCCGGCTAGATGGAATCCGTGTTTTGTTGGTGACATATCCATTGATACTGGTTTTGTGAAGAAGCCATTGATCATTCTAGGGGATTCCCCATGGTTTTCACGCATTGGTCTTCGCAGAAGCCAAGGAAAGATACAGTCACCTCTGGCATACTGGTGTGGTCATGGAAAGACTGCTATCGTTAGGGCCAAAAAGCGCGGGTTCATGGACATATACGACCAAGTCGAAAACTCATGGGTCCGGGAAAATGTGTGAAATTGTAATGGCGGCTACGCTCCCCCACCACCATTCTTCGAGGCTAGGGATCTGTGGGAAGATGGAAAAAAACGGAACAGGGGACGAGATCTTGGAAAGCGCAGAGTGCTCTTCTCAGGTTGGCGAATGATCAATGATGGAAAACCGGCAGCTTTCTTTCACTGGAAATGAACCAGAACATAGCCCCAAACAAAACAAACGTTTGCCGACTGAACTGGTAAGTTTCTAGCTAGTAAATGGGAAACAGAAAGGTAAACAACAAGGTAGGTCGCATTTGCAAAACCTGAACAACGGCAATTTGTTACTGAAAACACGCGGCGCTGACAACATCCCCCTCTCATGGGAAAACAACAGGGTAAAGTCTTGGTTGACGTTGGAAGGGGAGCAAACAATCATTTTTTAGCAGTTAAGCGTGGGTGTCCCAACCACAAAGTAAAACAATAAGCAAGCAATGAAAACATTTCTCGTTTTTTTTTTTTTTTTCTTTTTTTTAACATTTCACATTTTAGCAGTTAAGGGAAACCATCAGCAAAAATGCAAACATATAAAACGTTTCCCACCAACCTCAGCGAAAAGGCCTGCCAAGTCAGAAGAAGCCGCCGGTAGGCAAAGGCGGTATGCAGCAGCGGTGCGCCGATCCCGCGATTTGTGCAACTCCATCACTCCTGACCTGTGGGAAGCGTTTAAACTGCAGTCCATTGGTTGACGTTTGTTGTTTACCTGCAGGTAGACTTAAGCCCTGGGTTTCCTTTTTGGGCAACTCAACCAATATTTGGGTTCTAAGTCTACCTGTCGGTGATCAAAAAAGGAACAATGGCAGTGGGTGAAACACAGCAGGGCCTAGACAAATATAACTCTGGGCTTGTGGGGTACAATCAAACCAAACTACCTCATTGTAGGAGAATGATGTTAGAAATGTTTCAGCCGCTTGTATTAGAAGCATAAGCTAGATTGAGTCCCTCTGTCTTGGCAGTAAGCCCAAGACTCGGTTGTCTGTATTGCCTACTTGCAATTGGGAATCAGGAAAGGAAAGACCAGCAATTCAAGGAACACGGGGCTACCGCCCCCTGCACAAAGCTGAGCTTTGAAGGCTCATGAGTGGAGAAACAGCCATTTCAAGGTCAAGCTAGGTGTGCATCTGGAAAAATCTACGCACTGGTGAATTACTAAACCCAAACTGAATCAAACTGATGCCAGTGCCATCGACGCTCAACCAAACTAACCTAAAAGGATGGCAACAGCTCCAAAAACCCAAGTCGGGTGGTGCAAACAGTTGAGTAGTGGGTCTGAACAAACATCATTTCCCATCACGCTTTGGTTTCAGTGCGAGACAGCCAGGTGGCTAGCACGGTGTGGAAGGATCCGGCCGCCACCGCTACGTACTTGCAAAGCCTCACCTGAGTCATCATCTTAAAGCCTGGTAGATGGTCTACCCAAGACCAGGAAAGGAAAGGGCAGTCGCACTTATGGTTGGGACTCTCCTGTGTGTACCTGAACTTGCGTGGCTCTGACCGAGCTCCGCAGCAGAATCCCATTGGGGTCCAAAATGGGCCCCTGAAAGGTTCATTGCCTCCTGGGCCCTCTGTCAGTTTCCGTTTCAGTGCGCTGCTCGAACAGCAGCAAAAGAGGAAGAGAGAGTTCCCACAAAATAGCAGACATGACAGTGTCGCTTTAAACATTCAACAGGGGCAAGACAAATGTAAATATGGCTGTGGGTCAAAACCAATGGTACCATTTTGGGGTAAATGCACCACCCATTTTAATCGATTTTAGTGGGGACTGGGGGTACGGGATTTTGACCCATGGCCATATCTTCAAGCAAAAAAAAACAAAAGAGGTGCCACTGAGATCGCCTGGTCGCCCCGCTTGGTTTCGGGGACGGCGTCCGTCTTTTGGAGGACGGCAAGCGCCCGGAAGGCGTGCAATTTGGCGAGCCCGGGCCCAGGTCCTCTCCCCAAACACACCACCCCGGCCCAAGCACAACCACTTGGAGAAGACGAAAATGGCTCTGGGTCAAAACCCTGTACCCCTGGTGAACATCAAAATAGGTGGCAAATGGATGTTCATCCACCCCAAAATGGAGCCATAGGTTTTGCAACCCATGGCCATATTAGACCAACACTGGAGTTGACCTTCAGTGCGGATCCACATGACATGGGCCCAAACCTCACATCGCGGCGCACCTATGATTTGGGGTGATGCAAGACTGCACCGTGAACAGCTCTGAGATGGGGCCTGGTGGTGTGTTTGAAGCGGTGTTAGGACGACTAGTCCCAGCCTTTAGTTGTTCAAACAGCAAGAAAGGAATCCCTAGGTCCCCCCTGAATGAAAACTAAACTCAGTCTGAGCTTAAAAACCGCTGGTTGAGCGCGTCTTCCATGCTTGTTCAGCACGATCGATCATGTGCAGTATCAATGGAGCATCAAGTACTTTCCATCATCAAAATACCTAAGGAGCCACGGTTCTACGTTACCCCTTACACCCAATACCTTTTTTGGGTATGATGCCGACCCTCCACAAAAAAAGGAGGTATTTACCATGAAGTCCCAGTTTGCTTTTCCAAAAATACTCCAACAAACGCGGGTATTTGGAGAAGGGGGTAGGTTTTGTCCCGTGTTTCAACTCAAGTCCTGCGCTCCGGCCGGTATGTCCCGGGCGAAGGGGCGAACGATTGGCCCCTGCTTGCCCAACATCCCGGGGTAGAGAACGTGGTCCCTGGAAAATAGAAACACAAACAGAGATCCTTACATTATGCATGTGGAAAAAGCCATGTTTCAAATGGGCAAAATGTATCTTTTAAGGAGCCCTGACAAACCACCAACGTTCTGCTCCTTTGCTTTGAACAGCTCATAAAGGGCTGAGAGCAACCCCCCCAAACAAAAGAAGAAGCAGGCATCAGTTGTCCTTTTGGTTTCCCTTTGAACCCGGCAAAAACATGGTTCCCTCAAAATAAGTCGAGACACCTTCGTAGCAGAATATGTTTCCTCGAAGCAGAATATGTTTCCTCGGAGCATCGGTCTGAGAACTGTCAGTGCAGAAGAACTGGCTAGCTCTCAGAGCAAATATTAATTGCTTTCTCACCATGGCGTGTCGGCCGTGTTTTTGTTGACCCTGGGAAGGCTAGTTCAAGGGACAGGAAAACCGAAGCCATCTTAAACATGGCCCTAATTTGAGAGACACACACACACACACACACGCACACTCACACACACACACACACACCCACCCGCCCACCCACCCACCCACCCACGCACGTGCGCACGCACCCACGCACGCACGCACGCACGCACGCACGCACGCACGCACGCACGCACGCACGCACGCACGCACGCACCCGAACTAGCGGAAAAAAATGCCCCAACATCCTGCTGTGGATCCCGATTACCAAGTTAGTACAACTGTTGTTTGTGAAGGCTTCCAAATTTCCTATGCGTCCCGTGGTTACCCTCACACCAATTCACATGGAACCTGGAAGACAATTTTCCTCTTAAAGGAACCCCTTGTCAGGTTCCATGTCCATGGGTGGGAGGGTACATGTTAGAAATCTTTCGGTAGAACTCTTCCGGTGAGTACTCCGAAACAATCCACGTAGGTTGTTATATACCCACATTTACCAACCCCAAATGGGTCAGCTATGGTTCCCTTGGTTACCTTATGGAAATGGAATCTTCACTTCCCGAATAGATTGGCCAGACAAAGTCCAAACTTCTTGCTCACCACACAATTGCTCCAAACATTCCAAGCCCAAACAGTTTCAAGTCCAGGAACTCGTTGGGAGTGAGAATATGGACAAAATCAATGTCGCGTCACTTTGAAACCGTGGGAAGCCATTGTTACTTGGTTTTTACATGGAAAGCAAATGAGAAACCGTTTAGTTTCTCAGGTAGGGTTGAAGAGGATTCCCACCCATCCACAGTATCACTGGATCCACAAAGGGGTTCCTTGCCGCCACGTACAAAAAATGGTTGACCCAATTGGATGATGAAACTCCTTAGGTAAATAATTGTGGTAAGATTAACTCCCAGGGAGTTTCGGTTTTACTGGTGGTTCAAACCCCGTTGATTTACAAATGATCAACCCCATTGTTTTACTGGTAGCTTGAACCCCACAGTCCAGTTGAGCCCGCCGCGGCCGCGCCTCTCTCCGCTCCGCAGGCGCCTTCGGAGCGTCCACGCGGCACTGGCCCTCCAAGGTACGGCCGAAGGCCACAGCCTCCCCGTCGCTGCGCAGAAGCACCTGGCGGATCGGAGCTTACGGGAGCTTTGGTGGAGAGGGGAAACCGACCCAAAAAGGGTACAGTGAGTCATCCAAGGCGAAGCCAAGCCACAAATTGGTTGAGGAAAAAATGTAATACATCTATATATAAGATGAGTAGTGGGGAAACCAACCCCAAGAGTTGGAGAAAACGGTATATTATAAGAATGAGTATCAATTGGGTGACCTGTTGGACGGACTCTAAGAATTGGGTTCCTTCCGGATGCTGCACACGTGAGTCCGGATGGTTTGAAAATTGTGACGTCACAAAACCTCTAGGGGGAAAGGGTCGATCAGCCTCATACAGATTAAGACTGAAGATGGAACCCGAAGAACCAAATCGGGTCTGTCTTGTTTGAGCTTGGAACCCCTGGATTCAGATGAGCCGAAACCAAAACGAGACACCCAGTTCGAGGAATCTCTTTTTGGGGGTGACCTTCCTGGGATCCGGGGGCGATGTGCGCCATATCTCTGCTTGGGCCCGAAGGAAGGGCCGTTCGTTGAACTCGGGGAACGCATGGCCTTCAAATAGGAAACCAACAAGAAGCCAGCTCGTTTCCCACTTGAGGGTTTGGGCTCTCCGAACACTGCAACCCATCAGAATGTGACCCTTGGAAAGTTGGAGGGTCTTGGACTTGATCGAGACTCTTCAAAGCACCACATTGGTGCTACTGGTACCTTAATCGCGAAACGGTGCATCCTTTACGCCGCATAAGGATTAGTGCCAAAATGGGAGGATTGCCCAGCTCCACTGGGCAGCTCCCCTCAGCAGCTGATGGGAGTAGAATTGATGCCACTCCCACAGCGAGGGAGGAATCCTCCCACCTCACCGGATGCCCTCCCGGCATCATGGGTGAGGAAGGAAAGTAGCGAAGATCAGCTTGATCAATTCGCTTTCGACTGAGGGGAAGACCCGGTTCTCAGTCGGAAATTGCGGGTCCGGATGAGTAAGTTCATCCGCCCATGTGTTAAAGTCGCGCTTCACATGCGACGGTCCTAACATGACCTGGTGGTCATGCAGTGTTAACACAATTTCCATGAGGATGGCCGCATTGGGCATCCTGCGAGTGGAATCGTTAAGCAGGGAGAAAACGTTTCCCTGGTTATCACTAGCAACCAGAATCCTAGTGTGAGAAGCCGAGCCGGCTGCACAAAGCAGAACAGCCCTCACCAAAAGGAGGAGGCCGAAGAGCTCCAAGGCCGCTATCGCCCGCTGCGGGTCCCCAGTAGTGAAGGCCCACGGCTCGCCCTCCGGTGTGATTCTGTGTTGGAACCACTTCACTCGGGACTTGTCGGGGTTGGGCACGTCCGAGCACCAACCACCAACCCATGCATGGTCCGCCTGTTTGCCAGCTCCCGCATCAGATGCCCCCGTCCATGGAAGTGTGGGAGCAAATGGAGATGCCAGTGGGAACCTCTGGTTGAAGAGCTTCCCCACAAAAATGGCCAGAGCACGAACCAGCTTCGGTGGCCTGCCCGAAGTGGTGCAGGCCTTCTTCCAGCTCCAAAAGGGCTGGAGGAAAGGTTTCGTCAATGGACACGCCGAAGTAGCCCATTGAATCCGGCCCAGGGCTTGTTCCACCTCCCTGTAAAGATGTCCCCCTGGGCCAGCCGTTTGAGAGTGGCCAGGATTATGACGTGCTTGGTACAGTTGTGCCGAGGCCATGCCGTACGTGCCCACTCTATTGACCCACCACCGGTTCTGGATGCAGGCCACCTGGTATTTCCAGTCTTTCTGGAGCACTTTTATGCGCCTGTGGGCCTTGGTGACATCCGCCTTGAGGATTCCCCCTGTGTCGGCGGCTGCCACGTCAGGGGTTCCCCCCTGCTCCCCCCAGGGCGTTCCGTGCCTGGGAGGTTGGGGGGAATGGGGCCCTCCTATCAGGGCCCTCGGCACCTGGGAGTGGCCCCTTCCCTGAGGGTGTTGACCGCGGAGAGACGTCCAGGCCGTTAGAGGTCTCCATCATCCGCCTGCCCCTATCAGGGCCCTCGGCACCTGGGGGCAGGCTGGTGCTGTGGGGGTCCCTCTCAGGGCCCTCGGCACCTGGGGACTGCCCCTGCACCGGCTGGTGAACATCCCGAGGTTCCTCATCAGTGCCCGAGGATGGGGCTCGGAGTAGATGAGGATGGTCCGCCGCTGTCCTGAGCCAGTGGATGGCATGGAGGCAGTCTCCAACCATCGGTGCGGTGGTCTTCTCCTCCGTGTGAGCCTGGATGTGTGCGTTTGCTCCCCCTTTTGAGCCATCATAGATCGTCCTGATCTTGTCCGACTCATCAATCCCTGCAAGGGGGCCCGGGCAAAGTTCCTCCGGTTTGCAGCGGCACCTCTCTGCCGCCTCGGCACTGGCGGGGGGGGATCTTCCCCCAGCCAGGCTTCTCCCTTAAGCTCCTCCTTAGTGGGCCAAACTCCCGGGGAGGTCAAGGTAGGGTCCGAGACTCCCAAGGGGACCCCCTCTTTCAGTGTTAGGGGGAACTCCCAATCAGGGTCACCTGAAAGGGATGCCAAGTGCGACACTAAGTCCAGGAGGAAGGGTTGTCCTGGGCATCGTTCATGGAGGTGCCTCGGTGTTAGGAGCAGCTTTTGGAGGTCGGCTTCCTGGAAGGGGTGTGTGGTGGCACCTGATGCCAGGGACATTCGGACCTTGTCAATCCAGGGCCGGGTAAGGGTCATGATCAGGGTGCCCAAAGTAGCCAATGGGGAAATTCTCCGAAAAGGGGGTTTGAGCCTCCCTGGGGAAGGTTTTTCCCCCCCATCCCTCAGGGGGCGTGAGCGGAAACCCAATTGGACAATCGCCACCCGGTCAGTGAGGTGTGGGACCCTGAAAGCGGGCAGGCATTCGGGGCGGTCCAGGACCTGGTCCCCCTGTCCCTCCTTCCCCAGTTGTTCCGCATCTCCGGCCATCGGGGGCATGGGAGATGGGAAGTCTGGGTTCATTGTTCCACGAGGGCTTACGGTGTCTGCCTCAGGGTGGAACTGCCCGTGCAGGCGGGGCTTCGGGGCGTTCTTGCCTCCGGGCTTTGAGCCCTGGTGTGATGAGGAGGGACCGCCTCCTTGACTGGGCCCCCGTTTTCCCCGGGGGGAATGGCCTTCCGGGGGGTCCGACCCCCGCCCCTTAGGTGGTTCCTTGGGGTTTCCCGGAAATTGTGAGGGGATCCGGATGTGCCCCGGCGCTGCGAGTGACACAGCGATGGCTTTGGCCAGGCCTGCCATCATATCCCAAGGGTATCTGCTAAGAGTCGAGGACTCGTTGGTGCCCACATGTGACTGATGCGTGCACCGCATTTGATCCCAGTCCTGGATCGGGAGATCCGTGGCCAGCGTAGTGGCCTTCTTGACCAGCTGGCCCAGGCGGCACTGGTCGAAGGAGATTGCTGTCAAGGAGTTCTCCTCCATCCAAAGCTGCCCCTCCTCTGTGATCCAGAAGGATGAGCATTCCTTGGCTTTGGGCAGCGAGCTGCTCACCACTGGGTCCTCCGGGTGTTCCAGGAAGGACCTGGGCCCTGGCAGAGAAACCGCCGCTCGTGAGGCCCTTGCCAGGCTGGTGATGTACATCTGTCTCAGAATGAGGATGCTGTCATCATCAAGTTGAGTCTGGGCGGCCTGGTCCAGGTGTGGAAGGCCCCAAAGTGTCTCTGGAGTGCGCCCTCGCACCGGGGTGGGAGCCCCCGGTTTTGGTATGTGGCGCAGGATGGACCATGTCCTGCAGTTGGGTCCTCCTCCAATGAAGACCACTCGGCCCTGCTTTGCTGCCGTGCAAAGAGCTCCATACAGCTCGGGTTGGAGCATATCGTGGTCCCCTTTTGGTCCAGACCGTAGGATGTCTACCGCCACCACCATGCTGGAAAGGTGTGGGTAGTTGGCATGAAGACAGCTGTCCAAGGAAGTTGGGTCTTCCTTGCCTGCATAGAGCAGGACAATGATGGGCCCACTGGATGGAACTTTGGGCGATGTGCCCTGTGTCCATCTCAGCCGCTGTACCAGACGCTCAGGGATGTTCTCCATCCACGGGAAGATGTCCAATCCCGGTGACGGCTCCGTTGGACTTGTCAGGGGGGTAGCTGAAAGGCGTTGGCCCCCTTCATTCAGCCCCACCGAGCTCTTGTGGAAAACCACCGGGTCCTGCTTGATGATGTTGGGCGCCGGAAGTGGGATCGGCTGCTTCCTGGGAGTGTCCCTTGGCGTTGCGGTGTGCTGCCAGTCATCCGGCACTCGGGCCTTCTGGGTGCGGCCCCCCGTGTCAGGGCCCTCGGCACCTGCGGGGAACCGTCCCGTCCCCGCCATATCAGGGCCCTCGGCACCTGTGGCTCGGGACTGAGGCGCCGCCGTTGTGCCGGTTGTGTGGCTGTTCTGATCACGGCGAGGGCGTTGTGCACGCTGGTTCTGCCGTCCCCATCCTTGTTCCGCCGAGGATGGCCGCCACCTGGCCTGTCCCCCCCCCTCGGCACCTGCAGGAGGGGGCTTCTGTGCTTGGGGCGTTTGCGCCCCTTCTCGCCCCCCCGGGCCTTATCAGGGCCCTCGGCACCTGAGGCCTCCCGGGGGGTAGGGGTCAGCGCCCCTAGTCAACCCGGGCAGTCCTGCGGGAGGTGGTCCCCCAGGCAGATGCGGCCCATTGCCAGGATGAGGTTGCACTTGTGGGTGCGGCCGCAGTTGCCCGGGCAGCGCCCGCGCATCCAGTTGTTACAGAACTGGTTCCCTTTCGGGTCGGTGGCTGCCTGCTTGTTACCGCCCCGGGACGCCTGATTGTTCGGGTGGGGGGTCTTACCCTTCCCTTTGTTCCCAGGCTTGCCCTTGGACTTCCCCTTGCCCTTGGACTTGTTCTTGCCCTTCTGAGGTGGTGCGTAGTCCATGGATGTCCTGGTTGATGGGCGGCCCCTGGAAAAGGTCTTGATCTTCTCATAGACCTCACGTGTCCAGAACAATGTGTCCTGCCTGACCGACAGCATGGCCGCCTTGAGGGTGTTGCCCTCATGCATCTTCTCGT